TGAGGTCTCAAATGTTAACCATCAAATATCACAACGATCTCTATTTAGACCAAGCCATTCTGAAAAATAGCCACTGCCAAGCTCAGGTGAGCTCTCAGAGCATTTGCTCTATAGGCCGCTGATCGGCTGTTCTTCCTCATGTATAGCAAGGTAGGATCTTTAAAAATCAAAGCAACTGAGTCTTGAAGAATAGGGACTCGGATGGATCCTGGGGGTGGGGTGGGGACTCAAACCCCCCCCCCCACCTACTCTCCTCACAGCACCCCATCCTGTGTGGGTGCCTGGCTGCACTCATCACATTGCAATGCTTACTTATTGGTTGCAATCTCCTTGCTGGACTCTGCATGCCAGGAGGGAATGAGCAGCATCTGGCAGGTCCACAGCTGTACCCTCGGAGCTTAGAGTAGTGCTGGCACAGAGTAGATGCTCAACAGCACTATTGGGCGAGGAAGTAAAGGGAGCATGAGAGGAATCAAGATAAGGCAAGAGTCCTTGTGCTCTCAGGAGTTAGAGGATGAGGATTTAGCTGCTCATCTCTGCTTCAGATCAGCAGCCTCAAGAAGTGTCAGCACCTCAGCAAAGGGGATCTCTTAGGAGTCAGGACATGCCCCTCTAGGTCCTGACCCATATTTAAAGAGACATTCCTCTTTCTTAGTCATGCAGTTTGGGGACTTAACATATTCCTCCCACTAACTCCTTTCTCTGACATCCCTCAAAGCTACCCACCTATCCAGGTGTTGGGTGCCATGCTCCCAGCTATCCCAGCTGACATCCAGGGTGGCTGCAAGCATGGAGGGAAGAGCATAGCTGAGGCCTGCCCAATAGCCAGCTCCTATGCCTTGTTGGAAGGCTGCCTCCAAACTGTGGATGCTGTTTTCCCATGCCCACAGCAGGATGAAAGTGCCCAGGAAGTAAGTCTCTCTAGGGACAGCTCTGATGGGCATGGGGATGGATACCCCAGTTCCCTGGCCTCTGGGCTGGGATAATGGTGCTATATGTGTTTCATGTCATTTCCTAGAACCCCTGTCCATCCAGGAATCAAGTTCACACTTGCCCACTGCAGTAGCTGGTTCACTGGCATCTTGAAAGGGCCTGCTTCCCTCCCTTATTGCACCCCTCACCTGGTATCCTCCACCTCAGGTAAACCACATGCCTTGACCCTCACACCAGGGTCTGCTTCTGGATGAAGCACACTTTCCTCATGGTTAGCTCTTCCCAGAGTGTCCACAGAACTGTAAGTGGCAAAATACTTGGAAGTGGGTGCCAGCCAGCACTGTGTGCCCTGGCATGTATGCCTTCCAGGGACTTCAAATTACCCATTCCTCTATCCATAATTCCCACGGTCTTGGCATGCTTCAGGCATTCAGAAAACACCAGGTTCACACGGAGCTCCAGCTGGTCCCAGGAAGCAGCCAGCAAAGTTCAAAGACCATTACTATCTGTTAATCTCCCTTTATCTAGCAATGATTTCCCAGAACACTACCCTGGAGTTCAGTGCTGAGGGCTGGAAATGGTCTCCTGTCGGCACAAACAGATAAATATAGGTGACCTTCCCACGTGATGGATTGGGACAGATGGCGTCCGGGTACACTGGAACATGAAAATGATACTTTGTTGGGAGATGAATGTTCCTTCACACAAACTATATGTCCCTTTGCCTTCCCTTCCCTACTAGGTTCGCTGCCAGAATAATAATTGCTGTATTAACAATACACTGACATTTCCTGAACATTTATTATGTTCTAAGCACTGAGTGAAGCACATTGTCCCATTTACTCCTTGCATATAGTTCTCTAGGGTGGCACTATTACACACCCACTCCATCTATAGACAAGGCAATCGAGGCTTCTAGAAGGTTCAGTAACCTTCCCAAGGGCTCACCTTGTTAAAGAAGTAAGTAGAGCATTAAACCTAACTCTAAGCCACAATGCTGAGCACCGGACTAGCTACATAATTTGTTGGGTTCAGTGCAAAAATGAACATGCAGGACCCACTGTTCAGCAATTCTTAACAATTGTAAGATGGCGATGGCAGAGCATAATAGCAACCCTGGGGCCCTTCTGAGTGTGGTGTTCTGGGAGGCTGTCAAGGTTGCGCCCCTGGTTATGTGGAGTCAGAAGAGAGTGATGTGAATGAGGACAAGGACCGTGGTGTGGAATGCTGTTTAACCCCTGAGACTGAGCAATAGCTCACATATATTAAAAGTCATTCAATGAGCCTGAATATTTGGTCAGAGAGCTGGTCACTTTCTGTCAGAAGCTAAATTAGTTCATCGGATTAGAACCCCACAAATATTTTTCCTCTTTCCTGCAAAGAGTCCATCCTTAAGAATATAAAGGAAGGTGGCCGGCTCCAACATGGTACATGGGAAAGGGCCTGTGTCTTGAAGCTAGAAACATGAAAACAGATTCTAGCTCATCTCCCAGCTTGTGATTGGGAAAAATTCCTTGACCTCTTGAGATACAGTTTTCTTATTTGTATGATGGGAGAGTTATGACCTCTCAGAGTAGGACCTGGTATAATGGAGGAAGTGACATAGTGTATACAAAGGTCTCAGAATACAGTAAGACTAAATAAGTGCTAATCATAAGTTAACGGCTATTTTTACCACAAATATTTGGGGGCAGTTGAAGGAGCACATAATGTGAAGGTGGGTGACACAGTTGAGCCCTGAACACTGCTTCCCATCTGTTGTTGTGTCTACTGGGCAAAGTCACTGAACTCTTTCAAGGGTCAGCATTCTCTTCTGTAAAGTGGACCCGGAATAATGTCCACAACACATAGGATTCTTAGAGCCACGCCTGAGTGAGAGATTATGAAACTGGGAGAGGCGATCATTTCTATAGCCGGTCTGTGTTTGTTGCTATAACTTATATATGGTCAATGTTGGGGAGGGGGCTTAGAGAGGGACACTGAACCCTTCCCAGACTCCCACTGTCCCCATGGAAGCTTCGGGCCTCCTTGCCTGAGCTCTCCCACAGGAGCTAAGTGATCTAATGATTTCTCCTCTAAAAGTTTTCCACAGCTCCACATTCTCAACTCAACTTTGACTGACGCCATTCCAATGCCTGCTTTACAGTCAAACCCAGAGGGTACTGCAAAGACAACGATAAATCAGGCCAAATTCCACATAGCTGGTAGAAGCTCCTCCAAACTGATCTCCAAGGCTTTCTGTATTTTATAGGACATTTCCAATTATAAATTGAAGTTTGAGATGTTTTATGTTTTGCTGGAGGTGCGTCCACCCTAACCAAATTGCTTTGTGCTTTAAGAAATTCAATATACACAAAGGATTCAATTTTCTTTGAAAATATGATGCGTATATAAAACATTAAAATTTGAAATTCTTTCTGAAACTTGAAGGAAGGGCACAGCGGGAGGTAAATTGAACATTGTCTAATCGCATACACATATAATATACAGAGATATGCACCTGCTCACAGCTGCCTGAAATATCACCATTGTCATTTACATTTAGAACACTTTCCCAGCCCATCTTGAATTCCAGTCACTCATATACAATGCCCGGGTACCACAGGTGGAAATGGAGAATCATTTTTCTGCTCTGCTCCATCTCCAGTCTCTTTAATAGCTTTCCTCATTGGTTCTCCTAACTTGTTCTGAACACCAGCTTGTTTAAGATTTCTGTAAACATCGAACTCAAATTCCAGGGTCTCTCTCACCAAAAGCCATCTCTCCATCAGAGCAGCCTCCTGAGAGGTGCCACAGCAAGTTCTACTTGAAGTGATCTGACCCACCTCCACCTGCTACTCTCTGATTTTCCAGCGCTGTTTTCACTCTCTGTCACCAACCTCTCCCCAAATGCCCTCCAGCACACACAGGAAATTCCCTCTCCTTTTTACAGAATGCAGTCAAATTCCAGAAGACAGAGGGTTACTCCTTGCCCTTAGGCATCTGATGAAGCATATAGAGATCCAGCTCTTTTAAGTTGAAGAGAGGTTTTAGGCACTTTACTTACAATTATTCACCAGGTAGTCTAGGCAGGTTACCATGACAACACTTCTAGCACCTCATGTAACTACACATTATTGATACATCCCATCAATTCAGGCGGAGGGTGCGAGAGTGGGTAACCAGACGAACAAGCTCTCCAGTGTCCATCTCCCATCAGGCCACTGAGTGACTCTTACTTACTTATTTTGCCATTATGTAGACACAGCCTCAGTGATACACTTACTATGGCGCTTTTTCACTTAAATGCATTTTAAAGCTTAAAATCAAAGTACAGCATCAGACTAGGGATGTTTCTTCTTTGCTCTTCAGTTTTTCAAGCACTATACTTAGGACTGGTTTCTGCTGCTGGTCACAGAATGCTTTAATTAGTATCTATTGGGCCAGAACGGGAGCTCTAATTGTGAAACCTTCCCTGACAGAAAGGTTAAACGTGGGGAAAAGATAAAAGGAGCTCTGTAATAACTCTGAGTCATTTTCATAACAGTAGGTACAAGTATTTTCAGGGAGAAGAAGAAAATTTCTTGCTTTTGGCCCTTTGACTGAGGACAAAGATTTCTCCATGCACATCTAAGGAAAGGGGAGAACAAAGGCCTACCCAGTTTTCCAAAATGGCTCTGATTAAAATGCAGTTATTATATGAAAAGAAATAACTGAGGAGCTTGTAATAGGGACTTCAATATTCATCACAGCCCCACAGTTTCATGAAGTCCAGTCTGGGGCCTCAGAAAGATGAGCTATGTATTTACATTGTGTCCGACTGTGGCCATGCATTAAAGACTTAGATGTCGGTCACCCTTGAAGGATCACCGTTAGGGACAAGGGGAGATGTTTTCATTGTCTACAACACCTCAGGCATGTTCTGAGTTGCATCTTTCCAGCTCTTGCTTCTACCCAGGGAAATATTGTTAATGATGATGAATACCAACAACAAGTTGGAGTGGCAATACATAGTCTCTCTAGAGCCCAAAGATCAGAGTATGCCACTTTCCAGGCCATTATGCTAATGATAAACCAACTTAACATACCTGTGGGCGATCCTTCCATGACATGGCCAACATAGGGGCCCTCTCGGAAGCTTGGTCTATTGTCGTTCTGATCAATCACAATGACTTCCAGAGGGACTGGCCCCTCAAGAGTTCTGCCGTTGACATCAGTGGTCTCCACAAATAGCTTTTGGAGCAAAGAGATGGAGAAAGAGGGATTAATTCATTATGAAAATTGAAACCAGGTTCTCTGGAGAAGGTTGGTTATATCAGCAATGTTATGAGCCCATAGCAATATTGTGGTCTCAATGGATAGACACTGTGACTAGAATAGAAATTCAATATTAGAGAATAAAAGACAAAGATCAATTTATGGTAGATCCCCCTTGGGAAATTTATAATTAATTTATCAAATCGGCAAAGGAAGTCAAAAAGAAAGAAAAAAAAAAGAAAACACTCATAATCAGCCATAACTAAGAAAATGTGCTTACATTGTTTCTGTTTTTTCCCCAACATCATTATACTTAAATGGAATGTTATGCTAATAAAAATAATTGTCTAAGAAGTTATGAACAGAGTACATTAGAAAATAACTGAAAGTGTTTATAGTAATGTTTGAAAGAAAATCAGGTCAGTAAGTATGTATAGAGAAGCCATTTACTGAGTACTGAATGAGACCTCAGAATTCCTGCCTACCAGGCCCTTATAATCTACTAGAGGCCCAGTGCATGAAATTCATGCACAGGGGTGTGTGTCCTTCAGCCCAGCCTGCACCCTCTCTAATCTGGGTTCCCTCTCACAATCCAGGACCACTGGCTCCCAATTGCTCGCCACCTGCCTTCCTGATCGCCCCTAACTGCTTCTGCCTGCCAACCTAATCACCCTCTAACCACCCCTGCCAGCCTGATAGATGCCTAACTGCTCCCCTGCCAGCCTGTTTGCCCCTAACTGCCCTCCATTGCAGATCTGATCACCCCTAACTGCCCTTCCCTGCAGGCCTGATACACCCCAACTGTTCTCCCCTGCTGGCCTGGGTTCCCTCCCACAACTGCCCTTCCCTGCAGGCCTGATTGCCGACAACTGCCCTCCCTTGCAGGCCTGGTGCCTCCCAACTGCCCTCCCCTGCTGGCCATCTTGTGGAGGTCATCTTGTGTCCACATGGGGGTAGCCATCTCGTGTGTTAGAGTGACGGTCAATTTGCATATTACCCTTTTATTAGATAGGGTTATTAGATAGGATAGAGGCCTGGTACATGGGAGGGGGCCAGCTGGTTTGCCCCGAAGTGTGTCCCGGATCAGGGTTAGGGTTCACTTGGGGTGTGGGGTGGCCTGGGCGAGGGGCTTGTGATGGTTTGCAGGCCGGCCAGGCCCCCCGGACAACCCAAGTGGAGGCCATGGTATCTGGGATTTATTTATCTTCTATAATTGAATCTTTGTAGCCTCCATTGCCAGGGAAACCCAAGCCTCCTGCTGCTCTGTGGCCACAGGAGGAGGTGGAGAAGCCCTGAGGGGTAATCAGGGCTGGCAGCTGCTACTTGCACCCACTTATGGTACTGAGTGACTGAGGCCAACACAGGATGCCAGCAGCAGATGCGAGCAGCACCTCTGGTGCTGGCAGCAGATGTGAGCACTGGGAGGGACCATGGCACATGGGAGCAAAGAATTTCAGTAACCACCAGAGGCTCACTCTGACGACAACAACTGGCACACAGCTTTGGTCTGATGCCCCCCGCTCACCTGCTCCATCATCCCACCATGGCCAATGCTGCCATGTTCTGTGCTCTGCCACCTGCTGCTGACACCCACTATGTTTTGCGCATGCCCCCTGGTTGAACAACAGTGATTGGTTGTTCGGCTGTTTCACTGTTTAGTCTATTTGCATATTAGCCTTTTATTATATATAGGATGCTGCTTTTAAAATCTATTACAAGAATACCGCTAAAGAAAGAAAATTAAAACAAAGCCTTGGGGGAAGTCCATGCAATAATGAAGGTCTGGTTTTTTGTCCTACTAAAATAGCCAGAGTTGACTTTAACTTAATTAAAAACCTATGTATAAAGACAACGCATATGTTGGTTCTTAATCTTAAGTTTCCTGTTTGTTCACAAACTGGCCCCTGTGCATGAAGGCTGTGGAGAGATACAAGAAAGAGGTGGACCACTCCAGATTAGTATGTGGCAGTTTATTTAGTAAGGGGACCTTTATATGAAACTTGTCTGGGAGACCACAAGACAAGTAGATCTCTGTGCCCACTAACCAGTATCTTGAAAGTTTATGTGGAGGCCTTAATTGGCTTCAGTCACATATGCCATCCAGATGGTCTCAACAACACCTACTGTCTCAAGGTTATGCCCTTGAAAAAGCTCACACTGTGGGAACGGTGGGCAGAACACACATTCCAAGGACAGGAGAGGGGTGAGGAGCCTGACTGCATGGGTCCAACTCATGGGTCAATGGGTGGTCACATCCTCTTGATGACCTCCTTCTACACTTCCACTTTCTGCAAGACTCTGGTTGTGTAAGAAGCCACAAGTAGGACAAAGGAACGGAATTCACATTTGCCAAATACACAAAGATACTGGAAGTGGGAGGGGCAGACTCCAGATCCATTTCAACATAATGGGAAGACAGACAGACACTAAAGAGATATAATTTATTAGGATGAGTGAAAAATGTTGCATTGAATCTCATCAAATGAATTAGGTACTAGCAGTTTATGTCATTCCAACACCCAGAGTTTGACTCCTGAATTTTTTAGTGGAAAACAATATTGTTAGATGCACACTGGGTTATCATATGATTGAAAGAGAGAAAGAGTGTGAATGTGTGCTGGCAGGGGAGTACCTATTTTAGATATAATAGTTTGGAAGACTCTCTACAGATTTTTAGGCCCTGCCCAGAATCTGCTTATTGCTGAAGGAACATTTTGACTGAGACTTGAATGACAACAAAGCAGAAGGAGCTGGCCATGTGAAAATGAATGGGAAAGAGTTGTAGATAGCAGGTGTAATGGCTTCTAGCTTAGCATTATATTAGGGATGATCTTGGTACAAGATGAAGTCAAACTGGGGCTCCACTCAATTCCAACAGAGTGGACTAAAGTTGATTCTGCTATAACATTATTTGCTGGGAAAAGAGATAATGGAGGGAAAATAATATCATGCTTGTTTCTAACAAAGAAAACCATAGTATAATAGACTGAATAAAATATTAAATAGGAAATGCTAGTGCCTCACTAAGTAGTCCAGGCATTTTCCAAATGGCATACATTAAGTGTAGATGAAAATTAAGCAGTCATGAAAGAAATTATTAGTAAACATGACCTTATCCACCCAATAACTTACTGTAAGGAAATCTGACATTCCAGTGAGTTTAAATCACTATTCTCTTATGAAGGTCACATCCACAGTTAACAAATGTGAAATCTTCTGAAATGGGACTCTTAACTTTCAGAGGGTACCTCTAGTATCAGAGAATAAATGTTTAATGATGTTTTCACCTTCCTTTCCTCTTCTTAATTGAAATTCCCAAAACACACACAAGTCCTTAGTCTACAAAGACTGAAACAATGTTTGTTTCCTTTGAGTCACAAGATCTATTCTTGTGTGTTTGGGGCTCCAGAAATAAAACAAACCGGAATGCATTCTAAGGGAGGCATTCTCATGCCTGTTCTTGATGTTTAAAAGAGATGCCAATTAGTAGAAACCTACTGTGAGAAAAACAAACAGGCAGCTATTGGCAGAAGCAATGGAATAATTTCTAACAGGAAATGGAAATCACCCAGCTTCTCACTGACTATTTCTCCACCATCTTCTAGAACTTCTGCTCTTAATGTGAGTGGTTGATCTTGGGAATAATGAGGAGTGACATATAAAGAGGTCTATTGTGGAACCAGAAAGAGAGAAAATGATGCTCAATAAATTAGATCTAGAAACAGTTGCCCAAGTTACTTGGACAAATAATTGCCTAGCAATTTATTCCATGGCAAGGAGCCTGAAAAAGTGATATATTTGACCAACCTCTGTGTTGTGTTCTAGAACCTTGCTATTCACAGTGCAGTCTTGGAATCCTGAAATCCCTGATGTGTGTGTGTGTGTGTGTGTGTGTGTGTGTGTGTGTGTGTGTCTAGAAATTCAGACTCTCAGACTCTGCTAGAACCTCCCGAGGCAGCCCTGCATTTCATCCCATCTGCAGGGAATCCAGGTGCACACCATTCTTTGTGTGAAGCTGAACCACAGGAGTTAAAGATGAAAGCCCAGGGGCCCATAGCGCTTGGGAAGAGCCTTCTCAGGTTTAGATGTATGAAAATAACTTCCAAACAGAAGGCAGAGTCACACCACCTGCTAGGAATCCACTGCACACTTGGACTCGTGTCAACCCCAGACACACAGGCCAAGCAGAGCAGATGTTTTCTGTGGATCCTTTGAACAGACACACACATGTATAAACACACACAAACACACAGAGACATAACATACAAACACACAGACATAAAAAAAACACAGGTACACCACATACACACACAGATATAAAACTCATCCACCCACAAATCAATTTTTCCAATCTTCTCATCTCCAATGGTACATAATGAGCACTTAAAGTGTATTTTGTCTGATCGCTTTCTATAAATTTGTGAGACAGAAAGTAGGGAGAAGGGAATTGCCCACTAACTGAAAAGTGAAAAGTGGCAGAAAACAAAAGAAAAGAGGGAGAGAGTCCTTGAGGCAGGAAACCTCACAGGGGATGGAGCACCAGTGTTGGTAGCACCCAATTGCCTCAACCACAGTATGATTTTTGGATCCAACACTGCATTGTTGTTGTTCTCCACTGAGATGAAATAACCCTGGGAGGAACCTAAAATAATTAGGTTCTATCATTGGAGGGCCTAGGGGTCATCTAGGGGACTTGTTGGGAATCTAGTTTCCACCAGCACTTGGTGAGTCTGGTGTTAGTGTCTCCTGCCCAGGCTGTGGAAAACGGAGCCATCATGGGAGAGAAATGTTGGTGCTCATGAAGGAGGGGGGCACTGCTAAGGGAGAGAGGCACATTCCGAAAGCTTGAGTACAGGGCTCTGAAGAGCTGTGGGGTGAGCCCTGGACCTGGATTCAGGAGAAAATAGTCCCCCTGATCTCCCGGATCCAGGCTCTAAGTGGGCATCCCCTCTTTGACCTTGGTTTCTGTGTTATAA